TAATCAAAACACTATCCATTTAAATGAAAAACTTAAACTCCTGCAATAGCTTGACAACATTACAAGAATTGACTGGTTTCTAAATATTAAATTTTAATTTCAAAATATATGTATATTATTATGATTAATTAGCTAAGCGTTAGTTTAAGTTATTGCTTCTCATCTAACATAAAATTTTGGAAATGTTTATCTAAATCTTCAAATACAAAATTTCTGGGAAATTCTTAGTATAAAACTACTGGGAGTGGTTTATTTAATTATGACAAAGCACTCGAAGGCTGCCTGCCTGAAGAAAGATTTGTCTTCGTGAAGGACTTACTACAGGAAACTGGCTCTATCTGCGTTACGCATAGGAAAAACCACAAAAAAGGCCTATGCAGCAGCCAAATAAAAGCTCGGAATTTTCCAGAATTTTGCGAAATCGTTAATACAAATCATAAGCCATAAATGTTTTCGAAGCCAGCAAACATCCTCAGTTTTACCTTTTACTTCGAGATAAAATTACAGCCATACCTATTATCATACGAAAGTGGAATGCATCCTGCTTTAATCAGTAACTAACGTGATTAAAGTTTAGTACATTTTAAAGTATAGCCACTGAGGAATCGGAGTATGTGTTGTAAGTTGAGGATTAAGACCGGGTCTTTCTGAATTATCACATTGTCATCCAATTTTATCAAAACCTTATTTCCTGTTTGCATTTTATTCGCAACGTTATCGAACTATATGTATCTATGAATGCCTGAAATATGTACAGCATAAATATTTGGTTTGGGGAGCCCAGCTAAACCATACACTGCTGGACATTAACTTTGCTATATCAAGAAGGAAAGCAGTTAGAAGAATTACATTTATTTTACACATATATTATATATTAGGATCGATCTATCTTTGAAATTAGGCAAAGAATGCACGGCCAGTCGGATTAAAAAATTGTGGGTGTAAGACAAAGTCAGCCCACAGACCAAAAGATAGATTGCCTAACTCTCAAAGCATAAAATGGGAACACAAGTCAATACAAAAATTATAAAAATTTGGTTAAAAGGTTTATTCTTCGAAGCCCGATCATTGCTGGGCTAGCTGTACGGCATCCTTGTAAGGAGAAAAAATTACTCTGATCACAACAGGATAAGGAGCTATCCTTGTCCCTTCAAAGGAAAGGGGCAATGAACTTTAGAAATAATTGTAATAAAGCAAACAATTCTGTTTTTATATTTATCCTGATATATATGGTTCTCTGATTAATCTATATTTTGTATATCCAAAGAAAGACTTGATTTATTTGACTACGACAAAGCACTGAGGGCTATCTGCCTATGGGAAAGGATGCATTCGTGGAGGCCATTCCACTAGAAACTTGCTCGTATACACATTACACATGGGGAATACTACAAGACGCCCAAACACCCAGCCCGTTCACCGAGATTCGAACCCAGGGCCAAACTAGCAGTATTCAGCAACTGCCGCTGGTGAGCATATCCGAAGAAAAAATACAAAATGTTGGTGAGGAGAAATAAAAATTAGGATTTTTCCCTCACTGTTTGGCACAAACTGTCAAGCAGCCAACTAAAGTTATAGTGTAAAGTATTATGTCTGGAATAAGACACAGAGAATCTACATTTAGTAGAAGGAATAATGCACAAGCAACAATAGAAAAAAATCTTAAATGAACAACTTGCGCCACAGTTTAAAATCTGGTTTACTGTCGAAGACTCAATTTTTATGCATGTTGGAGCTCCTTGCCACAAAACGAAGTACACTGCCCTCCAAAAGTTAAGGAACAACCAGTTTTTCAAAGCTCGCTATTACAAAAATGTCAGTAACGTTTAAATTCACAGTTCATATGCATGACAGTAACGAAGTTTAAGAAAATATATATGCAAAAACAATAGCTACAACTTTTATTTTATAGAAATGAATATTTATATAGGAGTTGGAGGAAAATATGCCAAAATTGTAATTTTTGTTCACGTTGTTATTACAGTTTCGTGGACAATATCCACTAAAGTTTATCAATGTCCAGGAAAAGTCGTTTGTCTGATTCGTTGAGGTGGCGGGCGATCAGATGGATGAAAATGGGGATGTCACAAGCTGATGCTACTAGACATCTCAATCTCTCTGGTAGTGTGGTCTCCCGACTATGGAATCAGTTTTAATCCGAGGATTCTGTGTCTAGAAGACATGTCCCAGGCAGCCCTAGACTTACAATACCTGCGGAAGACTGTTATTTAGCTCTTTCGGCCCGAAGGAGGAGCAACATTACTGTGCCTCAGCTCATGGCAGATCATTTGGTGGCAACAGGAACAAGAATCTCAACTACTGCAGTGCGCAGACGCCTGCACAATACAGGTCTGTATGCAAGACGACCAGTTGTTTGTGTCCCCTTGACGTGAGGACATAGAAGTACCCATTTATGTTGGGCAAGAGAACATATCTCCTGGACCAGTCAACAATGAGCGTCTGTTCTCTTCACAGACCAATCCAGGTTCACATTGGAGCGTGATTCAGATTGTCAGCTGATCTGGAGGGAACACGGCACCAGATATAACCAATTCCACATTGTGGAGAGGCACAGTTACAGAGGTATTAGAATAATGGTTTGGACTGGGAAATCTCTCTCGTGGTCACACTGACCTACGTGTGTTCCATGGAGGAACTTTGAGCAATGTGAGATATTGAGACGAAATCCTTAATCAATATGTCTACCCATCACAGTATGGAGCGGATGGAATGGCCAGCTCAATCCTCAGGCCTGAATTCGATAGAGCATCTTTGGGACTACCTTGGGAGACAAGTTGCTGCTTTAAGTCTCCTGTAAGTTTGTTAGATGAGCTAACAATAATTGCTCCGTGTCTAGTCGTTGCTTCCTATTTCACTGACCGACAACTTAATTGACAGAATGGAACCTCGCTGCCGCCAATGTATTGCAGCTAGGAGTGGACACATTCCTTATTAGAACCCATTTTTGTAATGTTACCATCCCATTTTTTCTCCGAAGTGTGATTTACGTTTTCTCTAAGATTGAATTTCTCTGCCAAAAGTAGTTTGTTGTAATTCATGTTTGTGTTGAACGTTAGAAACATTTTATGTCGCATTCATTTTAGAACTGTTTAATGAACATGTCCTGTAAATTTCGTGTTTTTATGTTGCTTCATTCTCAAGTTAGACCAAAAAACATGCTGTTCCCTAACTTTTGGAGGGCAGTGTATTTCATTAAATTTTGTTTTCATGAAAACAATGTTAAAGCACTTTTATGGCCACGCAAGAATGCAATTTAAAATTCATGGGGAATGGGGAGCAGAAAACTGAAGAAAATGTATATCGATAAACATACAATTCAATAAATCACTGAAATTTGAATCATGAAACTGAAATACTGAATAAATGTAAAATTCTAATTGAAAATCTGTCAAATTTCCCAACTACTCTTATAAAGAGTGAAGGAGAGAATACAAAATACTAATATTAGTTTGTACAAAAAAAAGTATTTAAAAGCAAAAATAAATGTAAATGATTATTTTTTTCATTTAGTCTAATAATTTTTACAGCTGTATAGAATCATTGGCTTTTAAAGTCAACCATAGTTGCGTAACAAACTGAGTGATTTAAAAGCAACAATTTTATTTTTTAACAATTCATATTTTTATTTATATTTTAACACTATATTTAATTGATATAATTTATAACACATTCATTTGTTAATTTTGTGATCATTTGCACATTAACATAAGGGGCTTTTAAAGTCACATGTTACATACCTGAGTACAAAATATTTGATTTTTATCACAGATTCTGTTAACTCTTTTTACACCTAGAAAAAGGCTGTGAATTCTTGTCTCGGCAAAATAAAATTTTTATACACTCAAAAACTGATGACAGGAAACGCAAGGAAGCATTGATTATACTGTCACGTATGATGGTTGATGCCACTGTATGAAATATAAGACCTTTCCATTTCTCTCCCACGACCTGTCACGAACAGTGGATTCTCACAGTTTTGCCATTCTGTAAGATAGAAGATCTTCAGCTTATTTCTCATTTTTCATCAGTCTGTTACTAATTAATATATTGAACGATTCAAAAGCAATAAACAAACTTCTTAATAAATAAGCATTCATTCTACGTTTTCTAATAATATATCTTACGGAGATAAATTAAAGCACATTTAATTTTTAACACATTGAACTGATAATTTTATGAATATTTAAAGCTTTGTTGTAGTTAATAAAACATGTTATTAACGTATGTCACATAACTGACGCAAAAATTTTCTGGTTCTTGACTCTCGATCAATTTTAGCTGACCGTCTTCGATGAAGGAATAGAAATATGCAATCAATGGTTTTAGTGGAGCTGGTGGAAGAAGTACACTGAAATGGTTTTAAATTCGATTCTCAGCCGAGATAAACTTTCTACTCTTGTCCTAATATCTTTAATGAGGCAGTGGTTTTTTTTAAGTGTTTTATTATAGTGTTCGTGTAATGGTGTGTAACTCGAGAAATTCCTTCGCTACGCATTACCTAATATTGCTTGAAAATTGTAAATAAAAGTGCTAAATTTCGTAACGAGATACCAGTTTTATATGGAGGGGGAAAAGGAAGAATTTAAATTATGTCTGCGTACATTGTAAGAGTAAAACGAATGTTTTAGTTAGGGTAAAAATAACAGGTTCATCTTTCACATCCTGCAATCTTTCTCGCTTAGCGCTTCATTATTCTCACGAAATTCGGCTGCAATTTGAGAACTTGGGCTTAAAGCAGACAAAGAGGTTTTGCAAGGTACTGCCAGTATTTAAAGTATTAAACGTGTTTTACTTATATTGGCCCTTTGCATGTCACTTAAATTAAGCATAGGAACACAGTAGTAGTTGTAAAAATGATTGCTTGTTTTGTACAGCTGTAGTACAGAAATAAATGGAAAACACCTTGATGTACAAAAAATTTATTATATTTTAACAAATTTAAAAGAAATTATCGACTGACAATAATAATAAATTCAAAGATAATATAATTTCAATCTTCTTATTCTTTCAGGACGGTATCACAGCGCTGCACCTTGCTGTTGCTCAAGTTAAGGAAGATGCAATTCGATTGCTCCTCAGTCGCAAAGCAGATCCACTTGTACCTTATGGGGTAAGTATTGCAGATAGTATCCTTAAAAATATTTCCCAATGTTTAAAAGGAATTCTATTAACAACGCCATTTTATTCTTTCGGATCTCTATTAAGCAATTCAAACAGTTTGTAAAATACTCTATTTGCTTTGGAAAAAAATAAACTTGTAACTCATTTTTAAGCCTACAACACTGCTTTCTTGACAAATATGTTGATTATATAGGATATTTTAATAAATAAATAAACAGGTGTTTGTATGTACAAAAAGCTATGCGTAAGTGAAGCGTAATCGGGTTTATAATCCTATGTTTACTTTTATTTGAACGGATATTTATCAAACGGTCATTCCTTTTTTTATTCCTACTTCTTCAGAAAAGAAAGATACGTGTTAGCTTTACTGCCTGTTTTTTGTTTTCATAACACGCAAAAATTACGCAAAATAAGCAAAATTTTTAAAGTATCACATTTTTAAAATTTTGTCTACATTACTTCTTTTTGAACAATTTTCCTTAGCAATATACCCTCTCCCGTTTTACGGAGGGGGATCTTTGCGTTATACCACACGTCCCCAGCGTTGCCAGTTGCCCCTTAAATGTGTTGTTCTTACCTTTTATTAAAGCATTCTTGTTTTTGCAGTTGGTGTTCCCATAAAAAGATTTTAAAGTGCGTCATTCTATTCCCTTTATTATTTACTGAAATAATTAATCTAATAGCTATATCCCTATATCTCTCATGTTAAAAAAATTTTACTACAATCTAAATGAGCTGAAGATAAAAGTTTTCTCACTGGAAACATTAAGTTGGGGCTTGTCTTTCTACAAAAAATCCTTGGTGCCTATTGTCTATAAAGGAAAAGATCAATTTATTTTTTAATTTACGTATAGACAGCTCAGAGAAAGAGAGTCGCATTTGAGTAAAGTGTTATTCAGATAAGAATAGAAACCACCATAATTAAAGCTAACTCAATACACAGCTTGAAAGATATTAATTATAAGCAAGAAAATTACGTAAATTTCTATCATTTTTGTTTATGCTAATTTAACGGGGATGAGAAGATAGTCGATTCAATCGTTCAGTTATTTAAGTTCTAATTCTAGCTGAATTTGTTATGAAGGAATCTGTATGTTGTCTCTTTTCATGAGTCATAAATTCAAAGATCGTTTCGTTTCAGGAGTCAAGGTTGGGAGAGCATTAGAATTTCAAAGCAAAACTTCAAGATTTCTTAGAACATAGAAATAACATTTATTAACGATAAACTTATATTACTTCCGCCTATAGCGGCCATGAAACATAATCAAGCATCGAATAAATATGACATGCGTCATTGTTCATGTTCAAGCGTCAAGTGATATATTTTTCATCGGCGCGCATCAAGAGCGCCACCTATCTACCAAAAAGACGGAACATACTCCGCCCCGATGAACATTGGTTCATTACAACATTATTATAAAGATCTTCAATTTAGATTTAAACAAGTTTCCCAAAAGTTCAACAGTATATCATATAAAATAAAAATGCATAATGACAAATTTAAATTGAATAACAACATTAAATTTAGCACAAAATTTACAAATAAAACATACTTACAATCTCTAGAAGTGAAAACAAAATAATGAAACTGCTAAAATTACCATAATCCACAATTGTGGTCCATTCTCTGAATCTGAAACATATTATTGAATTAATAATAATAATAAAGACACAAAATTATGAATATACAATTAATGTTTTTTTTTTTTAGAGTCTTATTCACTCAATGGTAAAGCGGAAAAGTTTATGTATAGGACGCTTTCATTTCGCCCAATAAAGTTTTTAGTTTCACAACACGAACTTTTCCATCAGCACAGGATATAGTTCAATTACTCGTCCAAGTCGCCACTTTAATGGAGGCAACTTTTCGTCCTTTATCAAGACTAAGTCATTGAGGGCTAAATTTGGTTTATCACTCAACCATTTGGTACGCCCTTGTAATTGTGTGAAAGATAATCTCTAGACCAACGTTTCCAAAAGCTCTGGAAAATTTGCTTTGTCAATTTCCATCTTTCAGCAGGGGTTAGCTTATTATTTGTAAGATCAGGTTCAGGAATTGCTGTTAATGTAGTCCCAATTAGGAAATGTCCAGGTGTTAAAGGATTAAAATCTTCAGGGTCAGATGAGATGGAAAACTATTGGCCTTGAATTCAAACACGCCTCGATCTGTGTAATTAAGGTGTGAAATTCTTCGTATGTCAGAACCTGGGTCCCAATAGTCCGCTTTAAGTGAATCTTCATTTGTTTCACTCCAGCCTCCCAAAGGCCTTCAAAGTGAGGGGCAGCAGGAGGATTGAAGATCCATTGAATATTTTCACCGCCTCAGGTAGTTTTGAAATGCTTCGTCAGAGGAAAGTGTAGCTATGTATCTTCTTAATTCTCGATCAGCCCCAACAAAAGTTGGTGCCTCTATCGGAAAAGATTTTCTTGGGTTTTCCTCTGCGTGACACAAATCTTTTCAGAGATGCTAGGAATGCTTCAGTTGTTAGATCACTGAACTACTTCTAGGTGAATGGCCTTTGTGGTGAAGCATATGTAAAAGGCAAACATAACATTTATATATCTCGTTCCCATCTTCCATTCCTAGCTTCCTAGCTTTAATTAAAAAGGGGCCTGCAAAATCTAGTCCTGTATTCGAGAATGTTCTATCTGGCAATATGCGAGAAGCAGGTAGGTCGCCCATTATCTGACTTGGATGTGCTTGTTCGATTTTTAAAACATTTTATACAATTTCCAAATTATTTTTCTTACAATTTCTCGGCCATTAACGATCCAATATTTCTGTCGCAGAGCAGATAATGTTAATGTGGCTCCTCCGTGAAGGTTCACTTCGTATGAAAGTGTTTGACTATCAATTCAGTAACTTGGTGACTTTTGGGAAGAATGATTGGATACTTTGTGTTTTCTGAAAGATTCGAGTTACAGAGTCTACCACCGACTCTAAGGATTTCTTTCTCTATCAAGAAAAGGATTTAATTTCAGGATTTTACTGCTGAGATTCAATTTCTTCCCTGCTTTCAAAAGTCTAATTTCTTCTCTAAATTCGGAATTTTGTATGATTTTAAAAATCAAATTGCTTGCCTTATCCAATTCTTGAACTGTTAAAAAACCCTTGAGTTTTAAAGATGTAGGTTTAATATTGTGGCAGAATCTTAAACACCATGCAGTTACGCGTTTCAATTTTTTCCAGGATGAAAATCTGGATGTCAATTCAAATTCAGCCTCTTGGCTAATAACAGAACATACAGTAGTTTGACGCTGTTCTACCTGTACCTCTTCCATCCATAGGCTCGATCAAAGGATCAAAAGATGATGAAGGTAAATTTTTCTCTTTTAACCACACTGGTCCATTGATTGACCAAAGTTTATTTCCCACTAGATCAGAAGCTCTTAATCCACGTGTGAAACTATGTCAGCCGGATTGTCATTTCCCTTACAGTATTTCCATTGCGAAGGTGATACAACATCTTGTATTTCACGTACACGATTAGCAACAAAGGGTTTCCATTTATCAGCGGTACCCTGATCCAGTGAAGAACAATTTTAGAGTCACTAAAACAAAATACATTATCTTCTTGGATATTAAATAATTTCCTTAATTATTTAACTATTCTTGCGGCAATAATGGCTCCCATAAGTTCCCTAAACGAGGCAAGGGTAATTTTTTAAGTGGGGATACACGGCTCTTTGAAAGAAAACAAAAGACGTACAGCAAGAATCAGGATCACGAAAATATGCAACAGCTTCCATATCCCTTGAGGCTTGGCGTCACAAAAGACAAAAAGCTCTTATTTTATCGAAAATTTGCACATTCATCATTTAATATGTATTTTCTAGGAATACACAAGTTGAGAATAACTTCAATTTCAAAGTACCAAGTTTTAAATTTTTCACTCAAATAACTGGGCAAAATTGTGTCCCAATCAATACCCAATTCCCATAACTCTTGTAATAAGAATTTTATTCTGATAACAAAGGGTGCAATGAATCCAACTGGGTCATAAATTTTTGCCACAATCTGTAAACCTTTCGCTTGTAACGTGTTTCCAGTCAACTGGTTGTAAAAAAGTTCCTGTACATCTAATTTCAATGTATCCTCATCCAAATCCCAAATTATTCTCAGCACCTTTAAACGTTTTCTTATCCAAATTATCTTCCTTATTAATTAAAACCAATATCTTGCCAATGATTTTTTAAAGATACGGAATTTGATTCGAATTTTCTTAAGTTCATACCAGCATCTTGAAGAATTTTAACTGCATCAGTTGATAATGAGAAAAAATTTCTTCAACGGAGTCTGCTCCATGGATAAGGTCATCAACCTATAAGGACTTATTTAACATGTCAACAGCTTTGCTATATTTCTTTTCATAACCCTTTTAATATGATGTTTGATAGTGGCAGGCAAAATAAACGGACTTGTTGTCATTCCCAAATGGCACTCGGCACATTCGGAAAACCTTAAAGCCTAAACTATTGTCACTATTGTCGTAAGAATGATCAAAACCACAAGAACCTTAAAAAATTTCTATCTTCACTATCAATTTGAATTTGGTGAAAAGCCCTTCTCTATGTCTGCGCAAAATGCAACTTTATGTACGCGAAATTTTAAAATTATATCCAACAGAGTTAGGATTTAAATTAGGGCCTGATATCAAACATTCATTTAACGATTTAGCTCCTTCAGACTTAGAGGTGAGGCCCTCATAAACTATTCTTATTCTTGTTGTTACTTTTCATTCACGTATAACGGGGCCTATATGAGGCACATTAATAACAGTTAGGTTCATTTTCAACAAACTTACATTGTTCAACAATCCCCTTTTCAACTTGTTTCTCTAATTATATTATCATATTCATTATATAGGAAATCATTTCCCTTTAATTTATGCTTAAGTCCTAGAAATCGTTGTTTAGCAACGAAAAAATTATCAGCGAGTTGTGATTTAACTTTATAATTTTTTAACCCTTGTTTAGGATTAACCCCTG